TTGAGCAGTGACCATGATAGTATTTGTAGAAAATAGAAAGAGATGCAACTTTACGATGATGGGAAAGAGGCTCAAGCTTAGCAGATAGTCCAGGTCCAACAACATTTACAATGCGATTTTGGACCTTGTCAAGAAGAGAAAGTGAATCGTTAAAAGAACCAGCCCAAATATGACAACAGTATTCCATACAGGGACGAATAAGAGATTTGTAGAGGTAGAGAATGGAATCAGAAGTAAGAAAATGGCGAGCACGATAAAGAGAAGCAACCTTAGCAGAAGCTAATTTAGCAATCGATTGTATATATGGTTTCCATGAAAGGTCAGTAGTAAGCGATAATCCAAAAAGACGTAAAGTGAAGGACTCATTAAGAGGATTGCCATTCATTAATTTAGGAATGTTGACCATATTACGGTAGTTGTTTGCAGTAAATAACTGGGTTTTGTTAGAGTTGAAATTCACAAGCCACTGTGAACCCTAATCTATTACTAAAGTGAGATCGGATTCAAGATCAGCTGCTTGTTCTAGGCGATCAAAAGAGAAGACTTTTTGTCAAGACAGGAGTATAAAGTTGAGTCATCAGCAAAAAGAGCTGCTTTAGATGAAAGGTTGTCAGGAAGATCATTTATGTTTATAAGAAACAAAACAGTGCCCAGGATGGAACCTTGGGGAACCCCAGAAGTAACTGGAAATAAAGAAGAGTGTTGGCCTTCAAGGATGACTTTAATAAACCGGTTAGAAAGAAATGATTTGATAATCTCAAAAACTTTTCCAGAAACACCATATGAAGCAAGCTTATGGAGAAGACCAGCATGCCAAACTTTGTCGAAAGCTTTAGATATGTCGAAAGCAATAGCCCTAGCCTCACCGCCTCCATCTAATGCACGATAAAATCTTTCAGTTACAGCAGTTAGCAAGTCGGCCGTAGAGCGAGAGGATCGAAAACCGTATTGATTGTCTGATAAAAATCTTTTAAGCTGAAGATGCTCGTCACAACAATCCAGCGAAATTTTTTTTTAAAAATAAAAAATAAATTTAGTATTGAGAGAAAATCGTATTTATTGATGTTTATAAAATAATAATTCACATACTCTCATACATGATGTCTACATTTAATATATATATATATATATATATATATATATATATATATATATATATATATATATATATATATATATATATATATATATATATATATATATATATATATATATATATATATATATATATATATATATATATATATATATATATATATATTAAAGTAGACATCATGTATGAGAGTATGTGAATTATTATTTTATAAACATCAATAAATACGATTTTCTCTCAATACTAAATTTATTTATTTATTTATTTTTTTAATTTCGCTGGATTGTTGTGACGAGCGTCTTCAGCTTAAAAGATTTTTGTTTGTTTTTGTTTATATGTTTTTTTTAAACGGCATTATATATATATATATATATATATATATATATATATATATATATATATATATATATATATATATATATATATATATATATATATATATATATATATATATATATATATATATATATAGAGAGAGAGAGAGAGAGAGAGAGAGAGAGAGAGAGAGAGAGAGAGAGAGAGAGAGAGAGAGAGAGAGAGAGAGAGAGAGAAAGAGAGATAGATAGACCTTCGGTTATAGATTGATAGCGGTTTTTACTATTTCATAACATTTTTTACATTTTGCTGTTAATTTTTTTGATCCTCTTAAAATATGAATCTTAACAGAATTTTTGTTTTTACATTGCTTTGTGTATTCTGAATAACTTTCTTTTAAAGACATTTTAGGATGTGCTATTGATAGCAATTTAACTTAAAAAAAAAAAAAAAAAAAAGTAAAATTAAATAGTTATCAAATAATGTAGTTAAATTAAAACTGCTTTTATTTCTACTATTATTTGCTTACTTATTTAAAAAATATTGATCCAAATACAATACACACCGCACAAGCCAAATCTCAACACTGTTGAAAACTGTAAAATATAAGACAAGAACACGAGGTTATACCAAATATAAAAATTACTACATATTGATATGAAATGAAGACACAAAACCGTTAACTAAAATAACGTATCAACGCAATAACGCAATAAGCAAATCTCAACAAATTATTAATTACATGCGGATGTGAAATGAAGACATGAAACCGTTAACTGCTATATAGGAATGTTTTCTCTATGTCTACTTGTATTATGCGGGATAACTGTAATTTACAATTGTTTTCTTTATTTTTTCTTATAGAATAAGAATGTAGAATATTTTTATATACAAAAAAAAGAACACATTTTAAAAGTTGAAGAAAACAAGAAAAAAAAATTTTAATTTCGGAAAGTGATTTTGAGAAGAACGAAGGAGTTAGAATGAAAGTCAGAAGAAGTCGAGTTAGAAAGATAGCACAGAAAAAGCGGACAGATATTGCACTAGATGTTAGAATGTGCAATTTGAGTTCATAACAAATTCACTTGAAATGAGCTCTACATCAAGTAAGTTTGTTGTCGAATATGTATAAACAAACGTTGTATTAGGTATAAACAAACGTCATCAGCAATGTTGTCTAAAATTTAAGACAATATTGGCTAACACATTAATTAGGTAACCTAATTAATAGTATGAATTGCTATCTTTCTAACTTGACTTCTTCTGATTTTCAGTCAAACTCCTTCGTTCTTTTCAAAATCACTTACTCTTGGTCTTCGAAGCGGGTTATGATGCTCTTTAGTGAGCTAAAATTGTCTCTGTGGGCTTTGGTAATGTGGCCTCTATGTGGCAACTAGTAAGAGGAGGATAAACCACAATACCAAGCACCTTAATTACTGAAAAATAAAAAATAAAGGAACGTAGACCAGAGCTGTAAATCAAAAGAATTTGCAAGTCACACCACATGGGGTTTGATTATCCGATGCAAATTCAACCATCACATGTCGCACTATTTTTTCAATTCTATAAACTTTCACGTATGTCAATTTTTTTATCCATTTCGTCAATTAAAATTTACATGAATCAAAATATTTTTTCCATATAATTTTTTATTATTCCATATAATTTTTTTTATCAAGTAAAGAGATTTATTGAACTAATAATTAAAAAATTAAAATACTTTGTATTGTGAAAATATACATAAATTTTAATTTTGTCTTTACATTAAATATCTCGAAATGAATTGGTTTCTTCAATTTTTAGTCGTACAATTTTTATAAGTATTCTAAAGCATGTGAAACTTAAGTTAAGTTAAGTTGATTTATAAACGTTGTTTTCGCTAGTTGCTTTGTAGATAAGTGCATATATAGTTATTTACTATACATACCTATTAATTCTTCATTATCTATGTTGTGAAGCCTTGCACTCGCTGCCTAATCTTTGAGTATCGCTATAATAGAAAAAAAAAAAGTATCCTTATTATTGTTGACTTACGATATCCTGCACTGCCATAAGACAACACGCCATTTTGACAAGCAGGTTATCAATGACGCATTAAGTTGTAATTGGTTCTAAAATATTTGATGAACAAAAGAGACCTGCCGTCATGGTCTCAAACAACTTAAAATTAAAAATTCAATTTAAAATAACAGCCTTAACGGCCAATCAAGTACTTGGTAGGCTGAAAAAAACATTCCACAGTCGGTGTATCGTTGTCTGGTGAATATTGTATACAGCTTATATTCGCCCACATCTAGAGGTCGCGATACCAGACGTTTCTAAAGTTCTAAATTTCATTCGAAACATTCACGAAGTTTATTTTCACGTGCCACAGACACAGCACCTTTGCTGTTGATTACAATCTTCGAGGTTACAGTCAGTCTTGATAAACAAAGTAAATTATTGTAACCTCGAAGATTGTAAATTATTGTAACCTCAAAGATTGTAAATTATTATAACCTCGAAGATTGTAAATTATTGTAACCTCGAAGATTGTAATTCAACTAAAGTTGATTTACAATCTTCGAGGTTACAGTCAGTCTTGATAATCAAAGTAAATTATTGTATTGAAAGAGAAAAGTTTTTTACAAATCGAATTGTACGTCATTGGAGCGCTCTCCCACAAAGACCATTGATGCGCAAAGTGTTAACTGCTTCAAAAATTTAACTATAGCTGCTTTAAATGCAGTACAAGACTGTCAGAACAGAGGAGCCTGGTGCTTCCCTTCTTCATCGATCATTTTATTTTTATTTTTGACTTTAATTTTTTAATCGATTACTGAGTAAAATAAACTAAACTGTATATATATATATATATATATATATATATATATATATATATATATATATATATATATATATATATATATATATATATATATATATATTTCAATTTTAGGTGCCCAAAGAAGTCCTTACGGTCTTATCATAGAGCACCGCGGATAAGCATTTAATTTGAAGTTCACACCTCTTTCCTAACCGATGTCGCAAAACTTGTCCAGAGGTGGGTCTAAACCACGGATCCTTTGTTTCTGAGGCAAGTGAGCAACTACCTGCGCCATATATATATATATATATATATATATATATATATATATATATATATATATATATATATATATATATATATATATATATATATATATATATAAATTCGATAGCTAAAGGCACGTGGGTGTATGCGCTTATTTTTTACTGACAAAAATATATATATTTTTTCATATCTTATTTTTTTTCAGCGCTAGTTAATTTAGATTCCATATGTATTTTTTCTATACATATGGAATCCGAATTAACTAGCGCTTCTTGCTATTTCTGATACTTGAATATTGTTTTTATAACTAGTTTAGTAAGTAATATGCATTTTCTTTTTTAATTTATTAAATTTTTATTCAGCTTATCGATCCCTACAAAAATAAGTAACGTAATTTTAATTATAAAAAAAACGTCTGAACTATTTACGTTAATTCATTTTAGAAAAATGTTACGTCTTTTTTTGCCTATTACAAGCTTTGTTTTAAAAAACTCGTTTCTGCAATAAATAAAAACTAAATAACAACGATTTTTTTTTTATCTCACATTCAAAACAAAATTACATTAACTTTGCTATTGTTAATTTTAAAACATGATTAAAAACATTTAAACTGTTTCAAATGATTTTACTCTTCGATTACAACACTGTGCTTCATTGTTGATACCAAAGATTTTTTAGATTCTTTTTTACGACAATACAACCAAACATATAATGGGTATGCGTTGCCCAACGACACTAATAAGAGCAGTATGAAGTTTGACTAAAGTAAACATTTTATACTTTTAAAAATATATTAGAACTTAAAGATTTTAAAACTACTATAAATCATACCACAAAAAGATTATACATATTTAGCATAAAATTGATTACGTTAAAAAAAAAAAACTTTTCAAAGAAATAACAACAGAATTAGGGTTTGCGATCCCGGGACCCGAATGATTAAAAATAATCCTAAATTCCGAAACTAATTTATAAATATTTGGAATCCGGAAATATTTTATAAGTTTTTATAAAACTGTTAAATAAACAAAAAGCGTCAACAAAGATAAATAAAACTTAATTCAAATTTTCAATTGATCAACCTATTTATGTTTATAAATATTTACACTGGCGCGCATATTTAGAAATTATTAGCAACCATTTAAAAACAAATTTCCTATGAAAACAACAATTTTAAAGTAATAAGAAAAAAACAACAACAAAATAATCTTACTTTCGGCAAGTAAGATTATTTTGTGAACTACAATCCATAGGCTCTTTACATCTTTATTTTTCTATCAATTTGAAAAAACAAATTGATAGAAAAATAAAGCGAGTGTTTTCTAATAGCAAGTATGGGGTGACTTGATACAGCATTTGTGGGAGGCCCGAAAACTGTGGGAGGCCCGAAAACTTTATTGTGTTATAAATAATTTTAAAAACATTTCTTTTAATATTTACGGTCAATTTTTAAGATAATTATGTAAATTATGATAATTATGTAAATATAATACTAGGAGAATTAGGAGAACTAGGATACAAAGCTATTTATTGAGTGTTAAGAATGACATTTAAAACTATCTGCATTTCTGATATGTGATTCGGACCATTTGGACCATTGGATGCATTATTTGGGTTATAATTATCAATTTTTTGTCTTTCAAGTAAGTATCTGTCTTCATTCTAAGTTTTATACTTTTTATTTACTTTTTTTAATGATGCTTCTAATTTGTATCAAGGTACCCCTTGGGTGGGGTACCTTGATACAAATTCTGATTTTACTTTAAATAGTCTTACAAGTTTAAGGTTAAACTTGCGGGACTATTTAAACTGAAGGAAGTGAATTCAACTTCACTTTATCCCTCAGATGCTGTTTCTATTTTACTGTAATAATACACATCATAATTTCAAATTTTACAAGGAAAAATAACTTCAATCATATGTTAAATGTTTTCTAAACAAAGTTTTATAATCATATTTTGTTATGTTGTTATTTCAAATTTTATGAAACTATATGTTTCGATTAAATTTAAAGAAAACTTAATTAGTGCACTATATTTGATTTGAACTTAATTAGTGCACTATATTTGACTAATGTAACGATTATGTGATTGCCAACTATAAGTTTTTGTTTATAAAACTTAGAAGTAAGTTAATAAATCACACATTTATTTTTACATTTACAAATCGCAAAGTTTGTTTATGTTACTTTAATTTAATTTTTTTTTATGTATAATGACTCGTAAACATAATAAACATAATATTGAAAAACACTGAATACTTTTTGTAACACCCTTCCTTTAAAAAAGAGTATTAAAAATACTTTTTGTAACACCATTCTTTTAAAAAAGTGTGTTTAAAATACTTTTGTAATATTTTAAAACAGTGTATAACAAAATTGGAAAAAAAGAATGTCTACTTGTCAAGCCTCAAAAAGGTTTAGTATACCAAAAAGTAGTATCCATAACAAAATGAATTCAAAGCATAAAAAGTGCTTTGGAGCATTTATTTTTAACTAGAGTCACAGGGGACTAAAAATTGTCTAATTGGGGTTTTCCATTAGATAAACTTGATTTCAAAATGTTTTCAAACGATATAACTGGTGACAATTATTTTTCAAATTTTGAATGAAGCGTTCGTAGTTGACCCATAGAATCGCGTCTAACGTTAAAAAATAAATGTGCAGCTATAAATAAAGAACATTATGATTATAAAATGATATTTAGATAAAATTTGAAAAAAAAACGATCAAACTAGAATAAATAATGATCAGGCTAAATTGAAAAGAGTATAACTTGTGTGATCAGTGACCTAAAAGATTATAAACCTTCGTGGTAACTTTAACCACCCTGTACACAGAATGTTGTTATTTGAGCCCAAAAAACTTTGTATAACATTGTTAAACTAAAATATTAAAAAATGGCTCAAGTTACCCTGTTGGGTAAGTTTTCTAACCAGTTTTACATCTTGAAAACCTTTCTTCCTACCACCACCAGATTTGCGTTAGTTAAGGAAAACGTTGAAACGACTAACTGTTAAGGGATGTACTTGCAACTTTTTTGCAATGGAACTGTAACTTATACTCCAGTTTTCTGCATATTTTATTTCTAATGTTTTCTTCTTTTGGTATTTTTAAAATAAAACATTCTTTTTGAAACAGCAAGATGTTGTAAACAAAATAAAAATAAAATTAAAAGTATATTAAATACAACCACTGAAAAAAATGACACATTTATTTTTTTACATTTATTTCGTGTACACACTTAATTGATAGAGCATTTATTTATACTTATGGAACTTTACAACTTTTTTCAATTTTACACTTAAAAAAAAGTTAAAATGGTATTTTAATAAAAGTTTTTTTAATTTGTTGATTTATGATACTATGGATAAAATTTCAAACTCCATAGAATTTATTAGCACACTACAATAAAGTGCCATGATAAAAGTTAGAAAGCTATTGCAGATTAATCAATAGTTATCTTTTGTTCAAGGAACAATAACAAGTTAATTATACCATAGAAAGTTTAAAAAATTAATTTGAACTTGTTGAAAGCTATAATCAGATAATTCCTAGGGAAAAGAAAGTTGTTTTATGAGGGATAATCGATTAAATAAAAGTATAAATACTTCAATTGAGTTTTAGATATTGAGTTTTTTATACAATTTATCCCTTCATAACCTTTATTTTATATGGAAAAAATATATCTCTTTGTGAATGACGCTCTTCTGATGTTGTTAAACCCATTGCATGAAAATCTTTCTTCAAATGGCATTTTTTTTTAATCTCGCAGCTCTTCTTTTTATTTTTTCTAACTTATTTGTGACATATTTACAATATTAACATATTTGAATCAACAATAAATAAAGGTAGAAAAATTGTGATATTTATCAAAAAATAACTAAAAATGACAATTAAATTAAAAATGAAATAAAAATTTTAAATGAAAAATGATTTTGTAAAAACCCTTTATTTAATCAAAGTTTGTAAAAAAAGTGGATGAACTTATCAACAATGTTTGAAAAGTTTTATAAAATTTTAAAACTTAATTAAAAAGGGTATTAGCAGAAAGCAAGAATGAAATTATCTGAACTAGCCAGTGCTCAAAAGGCAACAGCAGATGTAGTTTGTTGAAGTCTTACAAATATCAAGCCTTCCCAGAAAAGGCGTGAGATTTTTCGTCTTGTATGACACGCGAGTATCTTATTTTAGACAACTTGAACACGGCCGTTCGCAAGTTTTATAATAATCAATGCTGAAAAAGTTTCAAAATCAAAAAAAACAAAACTAACAAAATAAAAAGAGATTAAAATAGAAAAAAATAAAAACACATTAGTTTAAATCACAACAGTTGTAGCAAATCACAACAGTGTAATCGAAATTAGCGGTGATCAAATACTTTAAATAAAAGAAATCCTATTTTTATATTTATTTAAAACTTATTCAATATTTTCTTATAAATCAAATACAACTGTAAACTGTACAAATGTCAAACTGCTCATAACTCTTTCGCGCAGATATTTATATATTAAAAACACAGGTGTTTAAAAACATAAAAAAACTAATTTATACAGCTTATAGTTGTTTTAAAAAAAAACTAAAAAACTTTAGTAACATATATACTAAAGTATATCTTTTTATCATTATTTTTTTTTTATCAATTATTTTATGTCTAATTTAAAACATTTAAAATTTTAAATAAATAACTCTTTAAAGTTTCCCTTAACTAAAATCGGGTTTTAATGTTTTATACAATACACAAATAATTTAATTTATCCAGATATTGCAATTTGCAACCATTTAATTTTCCTCTTGATGACATTTGCAGTACCCAGAATTAAAAAAAAATCCAAATAATCACCTGAACAATTTTTACTTTATCCTGGGTAGGCGTTATTGATTATTAAAAAACTAAGGACAAGAAAAAGTTATTCATTGTTTAACTATCAATTGTCGGTATCACATGATAAACATGTGCTTATTCCAATTCTATTAACAAAAATTCAAGTGAACATGGAAGTATTGGATAAGGATGATAATTATAGAAAAAAGTAAGATAATGAAGCTTAGCAATCTAGTGAATCTCACTTTTCAAACCAACAAGAACTTGATCTAGTTAGGGATTTTTTAGATTTGAATCTTCCAAAAGCTGGTGAAGATATGCTTGCATCCATATTAAAAAAATGATAAATTTTGCAACCAACAGGGAGAATCACAAAGTACCAAATAATGCAAAAATATCAAACATACATGGTTTGCTTAGACAACTAATAAATCTCTTTTGCAAGAAATTGGTATCTCACACCTACCTTATTAATGACAACTATTTATTAAAATCAATAAAAAGAGTTTAAGGACTATAAAACTGCATAATGAAAATCAATATCATTCCATGCCAGTTTCAAACAGTGTGTACTTTAAAGAAAATTACAACAATGTTAAAATTTGCTGCAAAAGATCAACAATAGTTATTTCAAGTGAAGATTTCAAGATGATTAGTTTTTTTTAGGAATGCAAGAATGATTTATCAACTTATCTTGTTTTTTGTGTTTGTGGGACAGTAGAGATACTGTAAACCATATTTAAAGAGAATAGAACAAAAGAAAAGATTTGCAACCAATGATCTACAATGTGAAGAATGTTGCTCAATTACCTGAGGAAAAAACTATTCTGCTTCTTTCATCTATTCTATTCAAACAATTTGTCAAAGTACTGGATCAAAGTACAGAAAATTAAAAGAGACCAGATCAATATTCCCTAAACTATCAGGAGCTAAAGTT